AGGCTGAAATCACGGCAGGGTCGTTATATTTCCTTAGGAGACGGTCTCGGAAGGTGTCATATGGCAGATCCGTGTGCGGAAACTTCTGGGCCCATTTCTTCGCATCGCCGTTGAGTGAGTTGTCAATGAGATAGTCTATCCAATTGTTCTCGTCTACGTCGTATTTCGTTAGGAACTTCTCAGCTTTGGTCAGAAAGCTGAGGGGGTTTTCGGTGTCCCGGCCTGAGAACTGTGGGGGCTTCATATATGAAATCCTGGGCTTCGGTGGCTCAGGTTGAGGCATCTGTGGTGTCGTGCCTTGGGTGGTTGAAAGGGCCGTCATCGCTTGCATCAGCGCAGCTATGAAGTCAGCGGTTGAAGGCTGGCTTAAAGACGGTCCTGGGGCCGTAGGTTCGGATTTTTGTTGGGCGCCATGTTGCCGAGAGGGGGCATTTGGGCCTGTGGGACCCATCGCCGGCTCTTCGGACTTCTTCCTGTCCCCGGAATTTGATCGGGTGTTGACCATCTTTGTTTATCGCTATCAAAGGGGTTAATAATCGCTACTGGTATAAAGTAACAGTTACCGTGACAAGTATCGCTTATAGGTAACAGTTCCAAGGAACGGTTACGAAATAACGGATCAAAGATAGAAAACAGAACAGGTACAATAATCTAAGTATTCCTTGACTTACGGAAGGAATAGCTTAGTAAATCAAAATAAATCAAACGGTATAAAAATATAATACAAGATAAATGCTCCTAAGTGTTTCTTGACTTACGGAAGAAACAACTTAGGACAGAAATATAAAAGAAAGTGAAAAATATGCAAATGTGAAAATAAAATATGGAAATATTTCTAAGTGTTTCTTGACTTACGGAAGAAACGGCTTAGAAAATAAAACATTCAAAGTATAAAACAAGAAATGCAAAAGGGAAATAGATTATAGAAATATGTCTAAGTGTTTCTTGACTTACGGAAGAAACAACTTAGAGCAGAAAATAAACAAGAGAATATGGTAAAATAGATGTACAAATATTATAAGTGTTTCTTAACTTACGGAAGAACAACTTATAATAGAAACAAGAAAATCAAATACAGAAAAGATGTGAAAATATTGCTAAGTGTTTCTTGACTTACGGAAGAAACAACTTAACGAAAAATAGAAAATAAAATAGTCAATAATATGAAATAATATCTTAGATAAAAGTATCAGAAATAATAATGCAAATATGAAAATACTTCTAAGTGTTCTTTTGACTCACCGGAAAAGAACGACTTAGACACACACAAATTAGTCGAATAAAATAGCAAAGCAATATTTCTAAGAGTTCTTTGACTTACGGAAAGAACAGCTTAGATACAAATACAAGAAATTAATCAATCAAAATAATCAAATAAAATATCAAACAATAAGTACATGAACAATGTGTAATATTCTAACCTGAAAAGGTCTGAATATACAATAATGCTAAAATAAAAATGGTATACAGGAAATCAGAAATAAAACAATAACTTAGTTGGAACAATAATAGCACCGACTAGGTCTACAGTAGAAGAGGCAAGCTCGACTGACCGATGAGAGAAATTCCGTCTGCTTTTATATAAAACAAATCCTTTGTTTTACGTAGCAAAAGTGGAATTTCCCTGCATCGAGTCAATTAGAAATTCGGATTTGCCCAAACTTGGAATTTCCAAGTATTTCTCCGAATTTCTAAATGCGTCCGGCACCGCTGTCAGATTCTGCCTGACACGCCTCCGGAGACACAGACACATCAGTCACGGCACAGTCCTGGCGCCGAACCGAACAATCCGTCATACAAAATATTCTTTAATAGAAATATGGCGTCGGCATTCACATTCATCAGGCGACGAACAGTTTCCCAGCTGTCAGATAGTTGATAGTTCTGTGACCAAACAGGACCGGTTCGGCGCCGAGACTATGACGGGACTGATGTGTCTGAATCGACCTTTAGCGTTCGTAGAATCACTTCTGACGGTTGACAATTTTAAGTTTGCTGTTCGCAGTAACAAAGTGATTAATCAGAATTCAGTTTCCAACGGTTGTTAAAATCTCCAACGATTGTTCGAACTGAAAATCAACGACATGCGCAGAGGTGTTATTGTATAAATTAGCCGTACTCAAACTGTGGTACGCGTACCACTGGTGGTACGCAAAGCACTTAAAGATGGTACTCTATAAACTAAAATAAACGAAGAATTTTAATAAAATTTACTAATAAATGTTATCTTTTACGTTGTGCATGGCAACGCTGTGAGTTTAAAACCACAAGTGCGTAATGTCTTATTCAATGTTGGCAACACTGGAATCACGGTAAATTGTCACCGCCTTTGATTCACGTCCATTCACGTCATCAATTTCCTCGTGACCGTCAGTCGTTGTGGTTGGTTTTGTCGAAACGAGTAATTTGCTGTTACTGATTCGTGCTAATTTTTGCATATAAAAAATGGATAAGTGGCTTAAAAGAGACAACAGAACATCTTCAAATCCCGGTCCATCGAGCTAAACTTCAGAATCGAAGCCTATACAGGGTGATGACAAAACGAGTTTTTTCATCCAGTCAAGCCAGTTTAAAACTGGCGGTTAGGAAATATGATCCTGAATACATTATTATGGGATTTACATTCATGAATATAAATGATGAGTCAAGGCCCCAACGTGTAACCTGTTCGGAAATTCTTTCTAACCAGTGTTTGAAACCTTCGCTATTAAAACGCCACTTCATTACAAAACATTCAGTGTTTTAAAATAAACGTGGAACGAAGGATTACTTCGTTCGGAAGTTAACGGAGATGAAAAGCACAAAAAAATGAATGTCGAATTTCATCGGCAGCAACCAAAAAGCAGTAGAGACTTCCTCGTGAGTTTAAGAATTGCGAAGTGTAGAAAAGCACATACATACCATCGGTACAGAACTAGTTCTCCCTGCCGTACAGGATATGGTAACGTGTATTTTTGGGGAGAATTCAGGTAAACAGCTTAGTATATTACCATTAACCATTGATACCGTACGTCGCACTAAGGGGTATTTGATGCTAAAAAGCGGTCATAAGTAGTTTTTCTAAAATTCACCAAATGAGACAAGTAATTAACGTTTTATAAAGTTCATTAACCGCTTCATACACGGCGCACACCATTTCCCCCATTTGATCAGCGCTCGCGCCTGGAAATTAGTATAAACACAGCACTTGTGTCATGCATGTCATTGTTGACAGCGCTCTCGATTATTTGATACATTTCTCTTTGTTAATATGTCGTCGTGTGGTGGATTATCAGAAAATTTCTTGCTGAATATTTAAGTTGAAGGTACAGTCTGTCCCAAACCCTTTTTTCAGTGCGTCACTAATTTTGACGTCATATAGGATTTAAAGAATGTCGAGAATTATTGCATGACATTTTAGTTAAATCTGACAGTTGCAGGATCGTAATCGGCTAAATGTGAAAAGGTGATTTTTTTTTTAAATGCATAGCAGTTTGTCATAATTCTGTTTTATTCTGTTCTATTTTATACATTCCAAGGAAAGTGCTTAATTAGTTTAATTTTTTTTATGGATTTATTATTATTTATTACAAACACACAGGCATATTGCAATGACAATTGCAATTGCAAGGCATCAAAGTAAACATTCCTGTGATAAAATAACATCGATTTAAATCAGTCTTATTTGGATAAGTAATTTTCTGATAAGTTTCTGTGGCAGCCAATAGTTTAATTTTGTGAAGATTTGTCATTAAATAGTGGAAATAGTTTAAATAGTGAAGCAGTTGATTTTTGAGTTATTCTACCAGATTTAGTGTGCAAATGAAAGAAGGTTATAAAGTTTAGTTAAAAAACAATATAAATAGTTTAAATAGTGAAGCAGTTGATTTTTGAGTTAATCTACCAGTTCCGGTATCCAGATGAAATCGTGTTAATAGAGTTTAGTTAAAAAAAAGATACCGAATGTAAGTTTACCTTCTTTTTTATGAATAATAAAAATGAATATTATATTTCAAACAATCCATAATCCCATTCAGAATCTGATTCTTTAAAATCAATGATTACACTAGATATGTGGCTGGTATCAATTATATCTTACATTTCAAGAAAATGTCGTGGTTCTAAAAAGAACCGTTTTAATACATATAAATATCCATAACGGTATTAGTTTAAGATATTTTCTCAATATCATTCCGGAATTCACAATCTGATTCGCGAACGACAGAAACTGATAATAAAGATAACTCAGCCTCTTTTTCTAATTGAAACTAATTTAATAATTTTAATATTAGTCTTTGTTCATTCTCGTTATATCTCGGAATATTTAAAATATTTTTATGACAATAAATACAAAATTTAATTTTCACTGTAGGTAAAATGTCTGATAATACTAACCTGGAACGGCAATTATCATTTTATCAGTTGACATTGTGAAAGTACTGTCACTGTCATTATCAAGATCATCAGTGTCAAATTATATTTATATGCATAATTGATTGGATATCTATTTAGCGTATTCTAAACTCCAACCAATTATACGTTCGTAAGTAGAATTCGCTTTAATATGCGAATACCCGTGACCGATACCTAATTTTCTAAGTTCTATGTATAATAATTAGGGACTCACGTTTTTTTCTGTCACTTCTAGCTTAATGCGTTAGAGAGAATTCGAACAACTATGACGCACTGAAAGAAGGGTTTGGGACGGACTGTATGTACTTTGTTTTATAATATATCACACTTAATTTCTCCTTAAGTTTCAGCATTTAAACTTATGTTTCCAATTTACATTTAAATCATGTTGTATTTTGACTAAAATTTTAAAACATTAGTGTTTTTGTTTGTGTCGCGCTTAGTCGCACTACATTTAAGTTATAGTAATAAAGTTTGAATATTTGCCTAACCGAAACAGTTATAAAATCTCACCCCAATGCACCCCATCTTTTTATTTTATTTTTACAGTTTATAGGTGCAATGAAAAAATATATTTTTATAATAAATCTTAATAATTTTTTTTTCAGATACCTACTCCGGAAAAGGTGAAAACTATCACCAGACGAGAACTATATGATATCCTAAGGGAATTCAAAGGAAATAAAATTGACGAAAAATTTACCCTATTGGAAGATAGACTTGCTCAGATGACGTCATGTCCAAGGGAAGATAGGAATATTTTGTCTCGTTCTCTGAAGTATTTCAAGGCAAGTTTTAAGCAGAAATGGGCGGCAGCTCGTAATACTGATGAACGATTTCTAAAACATAATGAAGAATGGCTTAAAACATCATTAGAACTTCTTTCCTGGTCATCACTTAAGCCCGGTCGTCCAGTTAAACAGTTCCACGAATTAAGTGAAAGGAGCAAGCGGCGGAGAACTGAAGAAATACGGGCTTGCGTACCTGTCGAAGAGTTGACTTTCGCTGCGCGTGTAAGTCAGGGTACTTCCGGGAATAAACATGCATCAAAGATGATTAAAGAAATAACTTCAACACCGACGAAAGCCAAGAAGATCAGAAAGATAATTTCGTCTAAAAAAGACCACGTGGAGATGAAATATACCCCACAGGAAGCGTTATCGTTATTTGTAGAAGGTAACTTCACGAGAAACCAGTGGACCTTATTACGAGTCGGACGGAAGTACCTCTACCCTTGTTACTCTTTGCTGCAAAAGGCAAAAAAAGAGTGCTACCCAGATGAAGACTGGGTAAAATAACTGTTACGGAGACGATTTTTAATGTTGAACTACAAGCTTTGCTGGATCATACGGCTTTGCGCTTCATCCAACATTTAAAAGAAGTCTTAGATACATTAAATTATACTGAAAAGCAACACCTACTCTTAATATCAAAATGGGGATGTGATGGGTCTCACCAAACTCAATTTAAGCAAAAATTTAAAAATGTCGCAGATGATGATTCAAATATATTTATGAGCTCGATTGTTCCAGTGAGGTTGGTTGTTTCTATTGATGGCAAAGCAATAAAAATCATTTGGCAGAATCCTACTCCTTCTTCGGTGAGATTTTGCAGACCTATCAAAGCTCGATTTGTCCACGAAACGACAGATGTCACTAAAGAAGAAATAGAGTACATCGAAAATCAGGCAAAATACCTGATAGACTAAAGACAGTGCAACATCAGTGAAAATCAGTCACAATATTTTGCTGACAATGGTGGTCGGAAAGGTTTGCAACTCCGCAACGGACACTGCATCAACTATGCGATGTTATATATGTGGTCAGACATCAAAAGATTTTAATAAATTAGAAAAAGGTGCCATTAAAAAAGAATCTTTACAGTTTGGGCTCTCAGTACTCCATGCCAGAATACGCTTTTTCGAATTGATATTGTATTTAGCATATAAAGAACCCATAAAAAAGTGGCAGATCCGTACACCAGAAGACAAAAACATTATTAAGGAAACAAAAGAGAAAATTCAGAAATGTTTTAGGGCTGAAATGGATCTACTTGTTCATATTCCTAAAGCAGGCTATGGAAATAGTAATGATGGAAATACGTCTAGGAGGTTTTTTCAAAATACAGAATGCTCTTCTTGCATCACAGGCATCAACAGAGAATTAATTAACAGGTTTAAAGTAATTCTTGAGGTAATATCAAGTGGTCATGAGATTGATCACCACAAATTTGAAAATTATGCCCAAGATACTGCCAAACTATATGTCAAATTGTACGGATGGCATCCAATGTCCCCTACAGTTCATAAAATGCTAATACACGGAGCGCAGGTGATCGAACAGGCAATTCTGCCAATAGGGCAATTGTCCGAGGAGGTCGCTGAAGCACGTAATAAGCATTTTCGAAAATATCGGGTGGACTTTTCACGAAAATTTTCAAGAATTGATTGTAACAGAGATGTTTTAAATAGATTACTTCTGACATCTGATCCTTTAATCAGTTGTAGTCGGTCAAAAAATAAGCAGAAAATCTTACCATTTTCCGATGAAGCAAAGGCAATTTTAATCACAGCAACACCAAATCCAAACAGTTTGGACGACAATACAGTCGAAGATGATGACGATGAAGAGGATTCTGATATTATCGTTGAATCAGATTGCACTGACTCCGAATAAACATTTGTGTTTAAATATCTTCATTATTTTCAACTTAAAAAAAATTACTTATTTTTGTAAAATTTTACTTATTATTGTAAATATACTAAAAAGGTACTTTTTTATGTATTTTTATTAAAAATTGCAAAATATCAACGAAATATTGTTTTTAATAATATATTTTGATAATATAGCCACCTAAATAATTATGACCGGTTATTGATTTCAAATACCCCTTAGTGCGTCGTAGGATTGAAATAATGGCGTTAAATGTTAAAGAAAAATTGGTAAAATGGATAAAAAATAGTATTTTTTGCAATAAAACTTGATGAGAGCAAAAATGTAACAAACTATGCTCAGCTTATGGTTTATGTACGATATATATTTCAAACCAAAATCAAAAAGTACTTATTTTGTGAGGCGTTAGTTAACTGAACGAATTACTGCCGATGAAATATTCAAGAAAATCAATGATTTTTTTTTGGGAAAATGGATTAGACTGGAAACAATGCGTTGGTTTTTGTTCTGATGGTGCCCGAGCCATGACAGGAGAATACGGAGGTGTAACTGCCAAAATAAAACTGGTTGCAGAAAAATTTGTACTTTTACCCATTGTAGTATCCACAGAGAAGCTTTGGTAGCAAAGCGAATGACAGATTAATTGAAACATGTTCTCCATAAAGCCGTTCAGATAGTCAATTTAATAATATCTCAAGCCTTAAACTCGCGTTTATTTAAAAAAAAAATGCTCTGAAATGGGAAGTGATCATATTCAGTTATTGCTACACACAGAGGTAAGATGGTTATCAAAAGGAAAAATGTTGAACAAGTTATTCGAGTGGCGTTCTTAAGTACATGTGTTTTTAATGGAAACCAATTTTGAACTACGTGATCGGATAAATTGTGGCTCACAACACTAGCTTTATTAAAAATATTGAGATACTAAATATTTTATACATATTTAATCGATTAAATGACCTAAACTTAAGCTTACAAAGTAAGTCACATAATTGATTTTCTGTAAACGATAAAATAAATGCTTTTATCAAGAAATGTTATATGATGAAAAATCGTGTTTCAAACAAAGACTTGCAGTCGTTTACCAATTTAGAAAATTTTGTACTTAAGTATGAAATAAAGATTACAGATGATCTTATTTTTAACATAAAACAGCATTGTCAAATACTAATAATTGACAGTTTTATAGAATATTTTGACGAAGACTAAGCTCAGTTTCTTTGGATACGACAACCATTTATTTTGGATAGCATTCCTGAAACATTAAAATAGGATAAAAGAGAGTCCTAAATAGAACTATCTTTTGATGCGGGTTTGAAAATTGAGTTTTCAAAATTAGAATTAGCCGAATTCAGCCTTATCAAAAAAAAGCATTGTTATTTTTACTTCCTTTTACGACCACCTACCTGTGAGAAACTGGATTTTCTGCTATACTACAAGTGAAAAATAAATTTCGCAATAGGCTTAATCTTGATCCAAATTTACGAATGAAACTAAGCACAATTGATTCGATTCACTTGTTGTAGCTATGTTGTAGAACTATCCATCTCACTGAATTTTTGGACTGAGTTTTGTTTTGTAACATTTATTTAACTCTTTTTTAAATAAATACACTTTTGCCAAAATGATTAAATTTTATTATCTACTTTTTAATTAAGTGGTACGCTATTGATGCAGAATTTATATAAGTGGTACGTGATAAAAAAAGTTTGAGAATCTCTGGTATAAATCTATCAATTCTATAACTACAAAACAAAAATAACCTAACGTTGGGTTGGTGTGCTCTGTGACTAACTAAATGAGGTTTGTTCGTATAGGAATCAGCAACTGTCACCAACTGCACGACGCATGCGTGTTTCATTATTACCGTTCGCAGAACAACAAAAAACTGTTAGTGATTTAAAATCATCTGTTCGTAGAGCAAACATTTGAAGTTGTGAATTAGTTGGTGATAGTCAAAAGAGTTTGCAGATTTTCTGCTTATTTTGAATCAAAGACTTGCGCAGTTCGAATTCGAATTGGTTGAATCAAATTCTTAACCCTTATTATAAAATTATTAAAACGTTGTTGGCTGTTGTCTATACTGTGTTATAACCATATTTGGAAGATTTGAAGTTGAAGGATATATTTATTGTTATCAGAATTTTTGAACATAAGTAAATAAACAGTACAACATGAACGTAAGTACATTCCTATTTAAAATGTATATAATCATTAAAATATAATTATTTTTATTATTCTTTTTATATTGAGATACTAAAACCACGTTCGTCATTTTTGGTCTATGTTCTCAACAATTTTCTTGAGGATAATTCAAACAATTTTTAAAACTAACAAGCTTGTAAATGTAGGATATTAAATGTGTAACTTTTTTAGATATTCGAGCAGAATGAACTTAGTTCTTCAAGTGATGAAGAATTAGAAATATTATTTAATCGTGGCATTAAGCACAAAATGAAAATTATTTAGAGAAAATCAATCCACAATATCGAGATGAAGAATTTATAGAGCATTTCAGACTTAGCAGACATATTGCTCAAGAAATTTCAGAGAGGTTTGCTAGGTCAGAATACTTTTTTCAACAAAGTGGAGAATTTGGTAAATTAAGTGCAATGGACTATACATTGTTTTGTGGTTTACTGGTCATGAAGCAACATCATACAGGGGTATGTCTATCTATCAGCACATTAAGAAAAGTTATTCAGCGGATGACATATTTTCTAAGTAACTTAAGCCCTGGAGCTTAAGGAGCAGGTACATATAATGGAAGAATTTTCAACCAATGGTTTTCCATCTGTCATAGGAGTTATTGATGTAAGTCACATACGCAATGATAAACCTAATGAAGATTCGGATTCTTATTTAAACAGAAAAGGATATTATTCAATGCAGGTATGTTAATATTATCTATATAAATAAATTATAGTTTCAGATCGTTTGTGAGTATAGAAGAAAAATCACAGATGTTATGGTTGGATTTCCTGGATCAATGCATGACAATAGAGTCTTTAGTGCTTCTCCTCTTGGCCAAACTCTCCATAAAAAATGTGGCAATAATTATATTTTAGGAGACAGTGGTTATCCTTGTAAACAGATTATACTGACTCCATTTAAAGATTTAGGTAATGTAATGTGAGCGTAGCAAGTGAGTGAGAAGTTGAATTAAAGGGCTAAGTAGCATAAGAAAAGATAATAATTATTCGAGATAATTATTATATATTCCGAATCAAATAAGGAATAATTATTACAGTAAAATTTGCATTTTAAATCACACAAAGAAATTGACCTAGTTATTGCATTGTTTGATAATTGTTTAAACGTATAAAAAGCACGAAACTATTGTTGTAAAAAAATAACAACACCCGTGACCCAAATAGGAGCAATAACGCCAAAACTACAACTCGGCGAAAACGTAACCTTGGACTACAACCGGTCAACTAGGACACCATTTGATAAAAACCGAACTAAGGACGCCAGTGAGGCATTAGTGATACGGCGGTAGTCGTGAAGGCATCAATTGCCTGCTCCGGGTACTTTCGACGCGGTAGCGTCGGGTACGAAGTAGTTAGTAATCAGTAGTTGGTAATGAGCGGTCCGTAGTAGCGGGGCAGCTGTGCCTGCCCGAGGCAGTAATTGCCTCCGGGAGCGTCCAGTACGCGAGACAGTCGGTGATTCTCCGGGGGACGCGTATCATCCGGCATAGTATCGCGTGTAGTACGGTTATTGTGGCAGCTCGAAAGTTCGCAACCCTCAACTGACCTAGTTCCAGAAGACTGAACGTGTCGTGGTTGAAAGCCCTAATATACACATAAGGTAACAGATTTCTTTTATACTAACCTGTGTAATTATATTAGTACAACTGTCAACTCTTCACTATCTTGCTACATCGTCTCCCGACGCGCAGAATAACGTGTTAACGATTATATTAGTAACTTCAGGGTAGATTCAATATATTGTTGACTCTAATTTGTTTTTTTTTAATGTTCCTTTCGTCCGACTCACTAGAGACTAGGAGAACACGAGATTCTGCGTATGCATATCTCCGGCTTCAAAAGTAAGCCCATAACCTCTGCTCTTTACAGGACCTGAGACCTAGGAGTCCTTACCCCTATCCCGAAATCCCTTATCTTCTCGTAAATCCACGAAGACGAGCCAGCCCTCCAGACCAGTGTGACCAGTATTCCTTGCAGCCGCTCGCAGGGTTAGCATCCCTTGAGGATCTATTGTGTATTTCATTTGGTGACAGCGTTTTCCTTACCTTCATATAACGCTCCCATTTTATTCTTTTACAGTGGTGACAGCGGTGGGATACTTCAAATACTCTCTATACTGTTACTTTAAACGATAGTAACTAACTATGAATTTTCCGTCTCCAGCGAGTCCTTGCCTTAGTGATTCAGTGCTTCAGTGAAGGCCCTTAGGTCTTCCTGTCCAATTTGCACTTTTTCCTGGTAGATAAACTGTAGCAAGTTACTTTAAACGATAGTAACTATTATACTTTTTTCCGTCTCCAGCGAGTCCTAGCCTTTGCAACGATTCGGCCGCTTCAGTGAAGGCCCTTAGGTCTTCCTGTCCAATTTGCACTTTTCCCTGGTACATAAACTGCAGCAAGCCTCCTAGTGTCTCGCAAGTTACGTTTGTCAAACTCTCTATAGGACGTTGACAACGATTCGACTCAAATTTTCTGTAAATATGGGCCACAGCCCAAAGAACCACTTTACGTGCTTCTATGCATTTTCCTTGCGATGCAAGCGGATCTCTAGAGATTCGCGGATTTTCCTGGAATAAAAGAAGGGGCTCTTAGAAATAATATGGGTTTTTGCGAACAATATGGAATGACCGGTTTCTTGGCAGTGTTCGGCAACTGCAGAATGGGAGAAAAGACCTTCCATATTGTTCGAAAAAACCCATATTATTTCTAAGAGCCCCTTCTTTTATTCCAGGAAAATCCGCGAATCTCTAGAGATCCGAAAAAATCCCCATAATATCAATCGAGAGGAAGG